GTGAAACTCAGATGGTCCATGGCAGAGCATCTGTTTAAAGGAAATATAATGCATTTGTTGGTTGAATTCCTTCCTTACCTACCATCATCCCCTTTCCCTTCAATAAATATCATGGAGAAGGGAGGAGAGGTACTACAATAAACCTGAGAAAAAGTAAGCTGTAGAATATTTCCAAAGGGACACAATGTTATTACATATATGTATATCACATCTCTAAACATTCAACTCTTTATACTATGTGTTGGCATAAAAAGATCTGGAAGCTCCACATAATCTGTTCAAAGTATCTGCCCCCAGAGGGTGGGTGTGGAGATAAAAGAGCTAGAAAAGGGCCTTCTATGTTTACTTCAGACACGATCGTATTGCCTTTAAAAAATGCAAACATAGGGCCGAAACCGGTTTGGCTCAGTGAATAGAGCTTCGACCTGCGGACTGAAAGGTCCCAGGTTCGATTCCGGTCAAGGGCATGTACCTTGGTTGCGGGCACATCCCCAGTGGAGGGTGTGCAAGAGGCAGCTGATCGATGATTCTCTCCCATTGATGTTTCTAACTCTCTATCCCTCTCTCTTCCTCTCTGTAAAAAAATAAATAAAATATATTAAAAAAAAAAAAAATCAAACATCGCCCGGCTGGTGTGGCTGTGGGTGGAGCGTCATCCTGTGTACCAAATTGTTGCCAGTTCGATTCCTGGTCAAGGTACTTGCCCAGGTTGCAGGTTCAGTCTCTGGTCAAGGTGTGTGCATACAGGATACAGGAGAAAACCCGCCGATGTTTGATGTTTCTCTCTCTCCCCCTACCCCTTCCTCTCTCTAAAATCAATAAAAACAAAAACATTTAAAAATAAAGTGGAATTTAAAAATGCAAACATGCATTACTTTGTAACTAAAACACACAAAAAATAATCAAAAGTAAAAACAGGGCTGGAATCTATATAAAAATATTAGTTCATTACCTGCCAATAACATTAACCTAGACTTTATTATAATAGAACAAAGATGACCAGGAGTACTCTAATGAACATCTTTTCATATCAATTTTACCTGAGTTTTTATTTTCTTGACAATGTGCTGAAGAGAAGTTACTGGGTCAAAGGAAATGGTAAAATAATGTACAGTACATGCTTATGAGATAACACAACATAGCCATTAAAATGATTTTTGCAAGAAATTTAAAATGAAATAACTAACATGCAGTGGAGAAATAAGATAGAAAACTATTTAGAATATGGGATCATCCATTCACCTATCCATTTATCTAGGAAGGCGTAAAAAACACACACCTACATCTTAGGAGTGGCTATCTCTAGGTTGGTGGGATTATTGGTGGACTTCATTTTCTTGTCTTTTCCTACATTTTCAAACTTTTCTGTAATAAGCACTATTTTTATAATAAACTACTTCAAAATCTGTACAGGGTGGGGCAAAATTAGGTTTACAGTTGTTCATCTAGAAAATACAATACTAGCAATTAATAATAATACAAGAATAAACTGTTTCATATACCAACAACTATAAAACTATTTTTGCCCCATCTGTATCAAAGAGAAGGGACAATTTTAGAAATAAGAATAGAATGCAAATAACAAGAAATACATTTACTTCTGTAAGATATCATATGTGCTCTCACCAACAATCCCAAATTTAATGTCTAACCTAAGTTTTAATGCTAACCCTAAACAAAATTCCCCATGTTGTCTATCACAATCAGTTAATCAGATAGGTGCCCTAAGAGTTAGAAACCTCTTGCTCACAATTCTTCCTGAGTCTTTTCTCTCCCTTTATGCTCTCACTCACTTAAGTATGTTGATGACACTCCCAAATTTCTATCTCTACTTTGACCTGTCTTTTGCACATCAAGGGACATTTATTCAACTGCCTAGTATTTCTTCCTGGTCCTAAAGATATTTTGAAATGTTCAAAATTGAATTCATATTCAACATTTAACTTGTCTAACACTGAATTTATCATCTTGTTCCTCAAATTTGCTGCCAGTTCTTTATCTCAGTGAATGATATCACCATCCACCCACTCAGTTACTTAAGCTAGAAACTTTGGACTTTACTTCCTTCTCCTCCCCCTCCATTGAATCTATTACCACACCTCATTAATTATGACTTTATTTCTCTTGACTTTGCTCACTTCTATAAATTGCATTACACCCCTTTAATCTTGCCGCTTAATTTCTCTTGACTTTGTTCATCTCTCTCAATCGCTCTGCCTTCCTAATTCTGGCTACTAGTGATTCTCATTGTAATAGCTGGCACTAGGAATTGAACTCAAGCCCCTTTGGTGCGCAGGCTGACACTAACTACTGAGCAACATTCTAAATTTCTTAAAACCCTTAAATGGTTCCCAATGTTCTTAGCATAGTATTCAAATGCTTTAATATGGTCTATAAGATCCTACAGGTTCCTACCCTTGTTTCCTTCCCGTTTTTTGTGTGTTTTTAAAAAATATGTTTTATTGATTTTTTACAGAGCGGAAAGGAGAGGGATAAAGAGTAGAAACATAGATATGAGAGAAACATCCATCATCTGCCTCCTGCACACTCCCCACTGGGTATGGGCCCACAACCAAGAATTGAACCTGGGACCCTTGAGTCCGCAAATCGATGCTCTATCCACTGAGCCAAACGGGTTAGGGCTCCTTCCCCAGTTATCATTTCCTACAGCTCCCCTATGCTTACTCAACATTACAGTCATCCTAAACCACATTTGGTTCCTAGAATGTGCCATACTCGCTTCCCTCAAGTCTTTGAAGAAAGACATGGCTTCCTCAACATGGAATACCTGGCTCAGTTAAAGTCTCAACATAGAGTTAAAAATTAAAAAAAAAAAATAATAAATAAATAAATAAATAAATAAATAAATAAATAAATATATTTTTATTCATTTCAGAAAGAGGAAGAGAAAGGGAAGAATCAGAAATATCAATGATGGGAGAGAATCATTCATCAGATGCCTCCTGCATGCCCCCTACTGAGGGTTCAATCCCCAACATGGGCATGTGCCCTGACTGGGAATCGAACAGTGACCTCTTGGTTCATAGGTCAACACCCAACCACTGAACAACACTGCCCGGGCAAATTTAACATTCTTTAAAGCCTTCCCTAAATCACCTTTGACTCGCTCATGAACTTATAAGCACTGGGTATCCCTTGCTAGCTTTCATGGCACCTACCATAAGTAGTACAATTATCACCCTGTATCATTAGTGACTCCATCTGTATCCCCCACAGCACTCTCACTTCTAAGAGGCCATGAGACTAGACCTGTTTCTAACTTGTTCATATTTTATCACCAGCTAAAATAGTACCTGAGTCACAGAACTGCTCAATGAATATTTACTAAATGAAAAAATATAAAATTATTTTTTTTAAATGATGATGAAGAGCCTGGCTGGTGTGACTCAGTGGTTGAGCACTGACATATGAACAATGAGGTCATGGTTTGATTCCCAGTCAAGGTACAACCCTGGGTCACAGGCTCGATTCCCAGTAAGGGATTTGTAGGAGGCAACCAATCAATGATTCCCACTTATCAATATTTCTCCCTCTCTCCTCTTCTCCTCTCCCTTCCTCTCTGAAATCAATAAAAATTTATTTTTCAAAAATGAGGATGAACAGCATTTATTGGGTTGTGGCTTTCAAAGGCTAGTCTAGCAGTAGAATCTGTGTTGTAGGATATACTTTATTTTTTTTTAATCTGTAAAAAAGTAAAAATTCTGTGTCCTCTTAATGGAAAAGTTGCAAGCTATCTTACTAGTTTAGTCACAGATCTTGCGACTATAAATTAATTCTTCTATGTGTATAAATACTACATTTTGAGACAATGGCATTGTGAGGTAGCTAAGGCAGGTGTTGTTACTTTTATCTAAATTTCAGAGAAATTACAAAATTATCAAAAAAGTATTCCAGACCAGTGCTTTTCCAATTGGTCTAACTTAATATGTTAATCACCTCTTGTTAAATAAAGGTGATACTACAGACCAACTACAAGATGAATATGAACTTTGGACTGTTTATCTACTAATAGAATTGCGTCATCCACCCAAAGTACCTCTGTTTTGTTCATGTGACCACTGACACACATGCATGGGGGGAGGGGTGGAGGAGTGCAGTTTGTGGTAATAGGGCAAAGCAGCACTAACTGACTCGTGAAGGGATCAATGCCATGACCCTGACCTCCATGGCTAGGGTTTCCCAACCCTCTTACATTTCAATGCAAACAGATTTTAGTGGAATACCAAGACATCCAGAAAAAGGAGAAAGGAGTTTAACTTCAATGAAGGTACAAGTCAAACACAGTAGTCTGGTATTAAGAATTTTTGTGTCCTAGAATTTTACAAAAAGGTCAATCTGAAATGAGTGTCCTATTTAATTTATTTAGGCCCATTTAGATGTTGAAGAGGGCATACTTTTTTTTTAATCCTCACCCGAGAATATGTGTGTTTTTTTAATGACTTTTTTTTGGGGGTGGGGGGGAGGAAACAGAGAGAGAAACATCAATCACTTGCCTTCTGTACATGACCAACCTGGGATCAAACTTGCAACCTTTTGTTATATGGGATGATGCTCCAACCGAGCCACACTGGGCAGGACCAGGGTATACTTTTTAACTGCAAAACCTTAGAACCCTCACTCTAAATAGGTAATGTCAGTCTCCAAATCCAGTAGTTAAACATAGTTTTATATTCCATGAAGTCTACTTTAGTGTGCATTCTGAAAACATGTCGAAATGTGTTTTGCTTTTGCCTGATGCCCTCCCACTCCTTCCTGAGTCACCAGGATTTTGGCATCAGATTGCAGTGGTGATGAAAACTGATGATGCAGCAGGTGGACAGGAAGGGGCAGTAGTGGAAAAAACTTAAAGGACATCCTAAGAGATCCAAGATAAATATTTGGCACATCAGAGCTTAGATATATATATAGGCAGTTCCAGCCAAAGTTAGTCACTGAATTAGTTCATAAGATAACTTGGCATCTAAGATACAAGCACATACCTGATAGCTGTTTCCTTTCCAGAACTTTTTCATTTCTTTACGTCTCCAAGCAACAATTGAGGCAGTAATAAGTGTGCATGGTACTAAATAGAGGAGAGCAGGCTGCCCCTTTTTCATAAGCACCAGAACAACAAAGGTAATTATCATGCCAACAGCATAGGCTGCAAAAAGAATACCAAATATCAGTCATTTCTGAATGCTTCCAAAGGTGAATTTTAAAATATTTAAAAATATATTTTTCTATTGGTTTCAGAAAGAGGAAGGGAGAAGAGACAGAAATATCAATCATGAAAGAGAATCATTGATCGGCTGCCTTCTGCATGCTCCCTACTGAGGATCAAGGCCATAACCCAAGCCTTTAACTGGAAACGAACCTGGAACCCTACAGTCTGCAGGGTGACTCTCTGTCCATTTGAGCCAAATCAGCTAGAGCTTCTTTTAAATTATTTTTTGTTTTTTATTGCTATTCATTTCAGAGAGGAAGGAAGAGGGAGAGAGAAAGAAACATCAACGATGAGAGAGAATCATGTATCAGCTGCCTGCTGCACACCACCTACTGGGGATTGAGCCTGCAGCCCAGGCATGTGCCCAGTCCGAGAACTGAACCGTGACCTCCTGGCTCACAGATCAATGCTCAACCACTGAGTGATGCCAGGCGGGCCAAAGGTGGATTTTTAAAATCCCTAGTTGAAGTACTGGTTTTCAAGTATTTGAGGATGATTTTTCCTATGTCTTCTTTTCATAATTTCATTATTTTCCTAGACAGTAATTAGGAGAGACATTCGATAGGGCTTTTGAAAAATATGGAAACTGGTTAGTATAAATTCTAACCATCAATCATCTTACCTAATAATAGACAAACATGTAAATTGACCATACCTCCATCACACCCACAGCCAATCAGAATGAGTATGCAAATTAACTCAACAAAGATGGTGGGTTGATTTGCATATGCAGACTCAGAGGGGCAGGATGCCTCTATTGGGGGGCAGCAGAGGGAGTTAAATGAGCAGTGCTCTAGTCAGAGGGGGGGACTTGCCAGCTCCCGGGTGGCTGGGAATGAAGTCAGGGAAAGGAAAGCTTAGCGCATTTTCCGGCGTATAAGACGACCCCCTAATTTTACAGTTAAAGCATAGGTTTAGGCCTATATTCGCTGTTTAAGACTACCCCCCACTTAAAGAAAAGACTTACTTTGCCGTCAAGATCTGCAGGTAATTTTTGTGCAATTTTGGTCTTTTGCCCCCAATTTTCGGTTGACTTTTTTTCATTTCAAAAGTCATCTTATACTCCGGGAAATACGGTATTCTTTTTTTTTTTTTTTTTTTTTTAAAATATATTTTATTGATTTTGTACAGAGAGGAAGGGAGAGAGATAGAGAGTTAGAAACATCAATGAGAGAGAGTCATTGATCAGCTGCCTCTTGCACACCCCCTACTGGGGATATGCCCACAACCAAAGTACATGCCCTTGACCGGAATCGAACCCGGGACCCTTCAGTCCCCAAGCCGACACTCTACCCATTCAGCTAAACTGGTCTCAGCTCTTTTTAAAAAAATATATATTTTATTGATTTTTTACAGAGATAAAGAGAGAGGGATAGAGTTAGAAACATCGATGAGAAAGAAACACCGACCAGCTGCTTCTTGCACACCCCTTACTGGGGATGTGCCCGCAACCAAGGTACATGCCCTTGACCGGAATTGAACCCGGGACCCTTCAGTCCACAGGCCAACGCTCTATCCACTGAGCCAAATGGGTTTCAGCAGGAAAGCCTATTCTTGCATGAATATTGTGCAACAAGCCTCTAGTAGATAAATATAATTATTCAAAAAATGTCTCATATACCTGTCACCATTAAGGATTTTGAGTTGTCTCACATTTTAGGTAACTAAAATTGGGACCTGTAGGTACTAATGATTGCTTTGAAAAAAATTCTTCACATTAATTATGTATTTCCTGGTCTTGTGCAACAAGAGAATACCAAATATCATTTCATCTTTTCTTAATGACCCAGGGTCTCATTTTGAAGATGGAATCTAAGAATATTGGAGCTGGAAGGGCCTTTATAGACAACTGAGTTTACCTCATTTTACAGATGAGGCAATGGAGGACCAGGGGAGTGAAGTGAGCTGGCCAAAGTAACACAGCAGAACTGACAGTCCCTATCATTCACCTTTCACGGAGTGTTCTTTTACTGTATCACAGTAACTGGCATTAGCTTCTTAATTTGTTAACGCCCTTAGAGAGTACACACTTAATGACCTGAATGGTCTTCTTTTTTCATTTTTTATCTCTTCATTCACTTATTGTTTCTAGTTATCAGGTACCTATTTCTAGCAACACCATTTTCTATTGCTAACCTACAATTTTAATTTTCTAGATTTAATTCGACTGTGGAATTGAAAACCTTGCCAGAATGGTACCTACTAGTAAATGGCTCTGGTGCAGGCCATTTACCTAAAGAACTCTGGTGGCCAAAACTGGTTTGGCTCAGTGGATAGAGTGTCGGCCTACAGACTGAAGGGTCCCAGGTTCGATTCGGTCAAGGGCATGTACATTGGTTGTGGGCACATTCCCGGTAGATGGTGTGCAGGAGGCAGCTGATTGATGTTTCTCATCGATGTTTCTAGCTCTCTATCCCTCTCCTTTCCTGTCTGTAAAAAATCAATAAAATATATTAAAAAAAAAAACCCAACTCTGGTGTATGGACTTTGATATATCTATTTGATATCTCCAAAGTAGTATTTTTGGCTTCCTTCCTGCTCCTTTCTGTTCTCAACAATAGAAACACAGAGGTAAGTAACAACTACTTGCTGTTGTAGGTGAGATGTTATTGTGCCATAAATTCATTTATATAAATATGTAGTTATCTGTACTTTTAAAAATTTAGTATTATATAATTTGACTACTTGTGTGCCAGGTGCTCTAATAAGCATCTTACATATAAAATGTAATGCTTTTCTTTCACATATAATTTCCATGTTAAGTCTCAAAAACCTTGTGAAGTAGATAGTAAAGTATAATTATTCCTTTTTGATGGGAAAAAATATGTCTTATTTATTAGTTAGTGATGATGAATTAGAATTTAGAGCTCCTTATTTTTAGACCTCTACCTTTTCCTACATATAACACAATTCAAAATAATAATAATAATAATAATAATAATAATAATTACCAATTGTGGAGGAGACATAGTATATTGAAGAAGAAGAATTAGTCTGCTGATCAAATCTTCTACAGAATGCAATCAACAGGCCTTAAAAGAAAAAACACTCCATGTTATTTTCTTAAAACCACCACAACTCATAACACAATGCTGTTATATTTTCTCTCTACTTGGCTTTACTATGTAAATAAAATGTTTTTTTGGTGTGTGTGTGTGTATTTTTCATAAGAGCTAGTACTTTTTACTCATCCACAGGCACTTAGGACTCAGGGAAACAAAAAGAAAGATGAGGAAGGACAAAATGTCAGCTAATTGAGAAATATTAATTTCTAAACTATATTTTTAGTAGGCTAGGGTGAATTTTATTCTATAGGTAGCCCAATGAAGAAAATAATGCAGAGCTGCGAAAACTGTCAGAGAAGACATGTTAAAAGCTGATCAACTCCATATGGCATATGCTATATTGTTTTGAATTACAGTACCCTATAGGGCAATGTTTACTATGTTTCTAAATAACTTTTCCTAAAACATAACTATTATTTAAAAACATAAGTAACGGAAATTATAATATACTTAGTATTATTAAACTTTTAAAGAGTTTTGAATATATTATACTTCCTTAAGGAAGAAGGTCAAACTGATTCTAGTTGCTTCCTCTAAGAGACATTTTGAGCCATGGAAGATATACTTTGGTTGTTACCAACTGGGCTTGTCTTCTACCACTCAAAATGTTTTTACTTTCTTTATTATTGATCCCAGCTCTGGCTATAGCCAAGAAATACTTAATACAGAGTAGGTAACTTTTAACAAATACAATACATTTGACAAATTGAAATGATCTGTATTTTTTACTGAAACTGTTACAAACAATTGCTTACCTGGTACAATAATGTCTCCAAAACCCAATATGGAAACTGGCATGGGGCATACACTCATTACTGAGAAATATGCCAGCTTTGGTACTTTGATGACTACTGGTAACTATAATTATTTAAAAAAGAAAAAAGATAAAAAAGAGTCACCAATAAACCCTCTTGGGAATCTTTACGCAAACCTTTTAGGAAAGGAAGAATTAATATTAGAATGACTGTTTTAACATTTTAAAACTGACATTTAGAAGAACTTGAAATTGGAAAACATAAACTAGACACATATATTCTGAATGTGTAGGAAGCGTGAAAGAAAGAGACATGTGGTTTTGGAAAAATGAAACCTGTGTAGGGTTAACAGTATTAATTCTAGTATCCCCACATCTAACTTCTTTTCAATTTTTAGCAAAAATATGACTCAGGCTTTGAAAAAAAAAAATTTTTTTTTTAATCTGGATTTTTTCCCCCCAAAGAAGAGTCTTGTCTCAGAGGCTATAATTTAAAGTCCAATGAACATATCTGAAATACAATCCTTACTTTCTCATGGGGAGCTGAGGGCTGAGCAGTGGCTTCCACCAAGTTTCCATCATTCTAGGATGAAACCCAAGTCAATAGGTATTTAATAATTTAGAATAACTAAGAAAAGGGCTATATCTTGTGAGAAATAAAGTTTTACAATACCTGGACATGCACTACATGACAAATTAATTACACAGGGAGGCAAATATTAACTGGACACACAGACATACACTGGCAGCCAGTTCTGTTTAGCTGCCTTCGCTACCTTTTCGTTATTTCCAAAAGGTCCAGCTGCAAGTTCAACCATGATACTCTCGCCGTTCTAAAATCGAGAAGATGAAAGAAATTGTCCAATCATTTAAAGAGAATAATCTAACAGTATTCAAGAATGATTTGGCCCTGTGGATTATGGCCTACCATAAATTAATTTTTTAAATGCACCCCAAGCCCAGCTGCTGTGTACATGGTTAGTGCCAACGTATGAACTAAGAGGCCACAGTTCTATGCCAGGTCAGGACATATGCCCAGATTGTGGGCTCCATCCCCAGTAAGGGGCATGCAGGAGGCAGCCAATCAATGATTCTTTCTTATCATCGATGTATCTCTCTCTTTCCCTCTTCCTTCCTCCCTGAAATCAATTAAAAAACATTTTAAAACTAACTAAATAAAATATCAATACAACTTTTTTTCCTAAAACAGTCTCTGTAGATAACAAAAATTGGAGTAATCTGAAACAAAATCCACCTAGCAACACCGTCCCACTTTATCAGAACTCAATAATTTTCAGAATCTGACAGATAATATTCATTTTTTAATATTTAGATTTGTATTCAATACTGTTAACTTTATTTGAATAAATATATATTTGATCTCTGGCTACTCCCCACAGTAACAAAACAACGAAGCCAAACTTGAAGAGACCCAGCCCTAAAGAACTTGAGATGCTTCTCAAGCCTAACTCCTGTCCAATGTCAGCCCTGCCTGCTTTTATGTCCCAACCAAAACATTAACCTTAGCTGAGTTCTCTCCCTTGTGTCTGGCTCAGGCTTGTTATGTGGGCTCTGTGACGAGCTCATTAAGAAGTTATTTCCTGCCTGCCAAGTTTGCTGTGGAGAGGGGAAACATTCTGAGGTAGCGAGCTTTCTATTAGGATAAATATGCCACCAAAACAGGTAGTGGGAAGGTAAATTAATGCTGAAGTTTAGGAAAATTGATTTACAAACAATAGTATTTTACATGTGGGTGGATGCAAAGGAGAAATCAGTGGAGTGTTCTTAGGAGTACTTTGCTGATACCCGAGCTAAGAGAAAGAAGGATAAAGTCCCGAGCTAGAGGAATCTTTTCCTCAGGTTACTGGAGGGTTAAGTTACAGAATTTAGAAAAATAAACTAATATTGAATACAGTTCCTTACAGCAATCTCCCATTGTGTGATTCAACTTTCAATTAAAAGAATTTGGCTTGTTTTCTAATTGTTATTTAAAACATTTAACTGAAGAACATCATCAATATCCTCTCAAACAGTCCAAGATATTTGAGTAACTACTATCTGCAAAATACTATAACAAAAACCATAGTGTATGAAATAAAAAATGATGCCCTAGCTAGTTTGGCTCAGTGGATAGAGCATTTGCCCGCAGACTGAGCGTGCCAGGTTCGATTCTGGTCAAGGGCACGCGCCTTGGTTGTAGGATCAATCCCCGGTCCTCCTCAGGTTGCATGTGGGGAAGCAACCAATTGACATTTCTCTCTCCCTGTCTCTCCTCCTCCCTTCCTCCCTCTCTAAAAACCAATGGCAAAATATCCTCGAGAGAGGATTAACAACAAAAATGAACACAGGCTCTTATTGTCAGTACTAATAGACACTGGCCCTGCTAACTCTTTAAAAGTTTACTAATTCCAGGGCTGAGACATGTTTAGACTGTCCAATATTTAATCCTTGAAATTTTCAGTGAGAACAACAAAAGTAAGAAATTGCATATCTGACTTTCATTTTGAATTACCTACTAAAAGGTCTATTACTTCAATAAAAACAAACCAGACTGAGAAGTCAGTGTTAAAGTAAGTCTGTAACAATGAACAGAGCTAAGAGCACTTCAATCTTTCCACCTGATCAGACTACTAGGAATTCCTAGTTGGTGGGAACTAAGATGGAAAAAAAGGAGATAAAGAATTCCCTAAGCACAGAAGGAAGAAAGAGAGCTCAAAGACATCTTTATTTTTACCCTATACTCTTAAAATTCAAAAGCTTTCTATGCATAGAGATTGGAAATGATTTGCTGGCAGACATGTTTGACATTTAAAAAGTAATGCTAACGTTAAAACAGAATGGAAAAATTATTTTAAAACAAGAATCTATATAGCTATAGCCACTGTAAAATTTATGTCATACACTATGACAATCTGTTGGCCTATGACAATGGCTTTCTAGAGAGAATGGTTTACTTTCAATATAAGATCTCTGATGAAGTGCCTTATAGGAACATTTTATTAAGCCAAATACAATGATACAAGCTAGGACAACTTTAGATCAAACTTTAAAATATGCTTTAATAAATTAACAATTTTTGTTATAATCTGTAATAATAGTTCTATGCTTTTGTATGGTACTATTGCAAATAAAATCAATTAGTCAAATGGCTCATCATCAAGGCACAGAAAGATGCTAGTAAGACAGTTGGGGTAGCTGTGACTTAGGGCAATTTTAGCTCCCCAATGGGGCACATGCTTGGCTCATGCCATTATAGCAAGTACCTACTGGAAGTGCAGAGTTTTACAGATGGCAGGGGCTAAAGAATGAATAAAGAACTAATGGGGGGGAAAGTGATTATAATATCAAATATTAAATATGTGAAAGTAATAAAGAATAAAGAGATGATAGAAAGCAAAATAAAATAGGGGAAGTGGGCGAATTAAACAATAATTTAAAATATATTCATGAGGTAGGAATAAGGATAAAATAGAAAAATTGGGCAAGTAAGACTACAACATTCACCCAACACCTCTCCCTTATACTGAGAACAGCACCTTCATTTTACTGAGGAGCTAGTGGCAGAGCTGCAAACAGATGACCTAGGAGACACCAGCTGTTAGGATTCTAACATCATGGAAAAAGCCAGTCTGAGACTGTGAATACATGGACAGAAGCAGAAAGGACCAGATGTAGCCCAGTGTCTCGTTTCTGCTGAGGCCAGCCCCATCCTGGCCTCTGTACACAGCTTGGGTAGATGGGACCTTTTTGGTACAGAAAGGGTAAGTTGGGTTCTGTTAGTTGCAACCAAAAGAATTTTACTGATGGAAGAGGGAGGCTGAAATGCTAGCAACATGCCTTCACACAATGGATTAGGAAACTGAAGCACCAAGAGCTGTGATTTATCCAGGGTTAGGAGGGCACACATTAGGCCTTCAGATTTCTAGTTTGGTGCTCTCAGATGACAGCTACAGAAATGGGAGTAACAATGCCACATTTCATCCTTATTGTTGTCTATTTTATCTACAGCAAACATTTACTGTTTCACAATAAGAAAAGATAACTTTAAAAAGGGTAGGAAGCAAATTTATAGATATTCTCACATTCACATCAGTCAGCAGACATTTTTTATTTAGTAGAATGGCTTAAAGGCTTGAAAAAAGAAATCCTAATTTCAATGACAATTTTCTTAAGAGAATTAGAACTCACTCAGGGTAAACATCTGCAAAACCAATAACCTAAGAGCAAGTTTAAGATTCTCGTCTTTTAGCATGTTTCTCATGGGTTTCAAAATATCATACCTTTGTGATGAATGGTGTTATGAAAACAAAAAACACATCATAGAAGAGGAGAAGGCCTAGAAGTATCACACATGACTGTTGAAAGAAACAAATTTAAAGGTCAAATTTCCCATATCTAAATTAAGAGATTGTTTTTCAAGTTATAAATAAACATGTGAACATACATTTGAACACTATTTTTAAAAGTATTAATGGTTATTACTATTTATAGTTTTAGTCTACAAACCCCATTAAAACTTCTATGTTCTTTATCCTATTCTTTTCACATAAAAAAAAGAATCAATGACCAAAGAAATGTTCTTCCCTGATATTTAGTCCTGTAAGAATTTTCTAAATTAGGCATATTATGTAAATGATTTAGAATATTTTAGATAGCAAATCAGTGGTTACCTTGGACTGTGGTTTAGGATTGGTTACAAAAGGGCACAATAGAGCTTTTGAAGAGATGAGAAATGTTTAATTTGATTGTGACTGTGGTTACAAAGTAATACATTTGTAAAATTTCAATAAACTTCATAGTTAAGAAGGGTGCATTTTATTATATGTAAGTTATATCTCAGTAAAGTTGTTTTAAAAAGAAAATATTATCGCCCTGGCCAAGTGGCTCAGTTGGTTGGAGCATTGTCCCATATACCAAAAGGCTGCAGGTTCAATTCCTGGTCAGGGCAGGTTTGATTCCTAGTCTGGGTACATATGGGAGGCAACTGATTGATGTTTCTCTCACATCGATTTTTCTCTTTCTCTCTCTCTCAAATTAGTAATAATTTAAAAAACATAAAGAGAAACAATTATTTTAGCTGTCAGAGCAGTATACCTTACCTTGAAGTTGGGTAACTTCATTGTTTTAATTAAATTCAGGCAGAAAGCAATCCCCAAGATATCCTGTAAAATCCAAGCCCACCTAAAATAAAAGAAGTTACTCTATTATTTTATCCAGTTACTTTCAGATGGAACTATTCTTTATTTTTTGTTGACAGTATTTCCCCCCCCTTTTCTCTCCACCCTACCCCAGCCTTCACCCCACTATTATCTGTGTCCATGGGCTGTGCAAATATGCATTAAGTTCTTTGGTTAATCTTTTCCCATCCCCTCTGAGATATGTCAGTCTATTCCTCAGATGGAACTTTTCAAAAGAATAAAAAACCTCTATTTTCCATATTTAGTAATTTACTGCCTTAATAGAATAATTAATACTACTATAATAAGGAAAAGTTGAAAGACTACCTCAGAAGAATGTGTATCAGACACAAATGGATATTTATCTTTAATCTTTGAATTTATACATGTCTCTTTCTAGAAAGGTCACGTATAACAAAGGATAGGTAGCTAGAACATAAAGGAAACAGGAGCTATACAACATACTCTATCAAAAAACGATATGCATAATTCCCAATTGATTTATCTTACCTGAAGTTGCCTAAAATATATGAACTTTGCTCCCAAATTTTAGGGTATTAAATCCTTTGGATTTTACTAATTTCATTAATAAAACATTAAATAAACTTAAATATAATTTTTTTTCTGGTTATCTTTCCTGTAAATGGATGAAAACCAGTATGTTTTTCTTATATCTCCTTCTTTATTAAATAAAAGGTAGCCTACTCTAGTATTGATATATTTATATTCTTTTGCACTTTTTTCACTTAAAAATATATTCTGGAAATGACTGCATATCAATTCACAGAGATCTTCATTCTTTATAGCTGCACTGTATTCCACTGTGTACTTAATTATGGCTACATCATAATTAAGTCTATATGTAATTAAGTCTTTTAGCTTAGTTGTTTAAATTATGATTCACATTTCCTTTTCTATATGACCTCAAAACCATGAACACAAAATCTACTTATTTAACAAGTAACTTTTTTCAAAACTATAATGTTCTGGGATGAAAGCAAAACTTCCATAATAATAATAATAGTAATAATAATAATAATAATAATTAATAATAATGAATACAGTAGGTCCTCAGGTTATGTTTCAGATCCGTTCCTATGGAGCAATGTAAGGCGATTTTCGCCATAAGTAGGAACCCACCTACATGAGCACCTGTCACTCACAGGGAGCACATGCACAGCGGTAATGAAGTGAAACAGTAAAAAAAAAAATAAAATAAAATAAAAGATAACAATTACTGACATTTACTTGTGGTAAACAAATGATAAAAATATAAAGCACATATGTGCACACGTCAAAATGACAGAACTTTTTTTTTTTTAATAAATAAATGGAAGATGGCGATGTAACCACGAAACGACATGCAGTATGTCGAGTCTGACGTAACCCGAGGACTGTCTGTAATTATCAGGACAAGACATAAAATAATCCATCCATAACTTAACAGCAAATAAACTAAGTGGTTATACCTATCTTCATTTCTATACACAGCCCAAACAGCAGCTATTGCTATGCACAGTCCAGCGAGAAAAATAAGCCTCACTTCAATGCTTTTGCCACGACACCCAATCCTAAAATGACAACAAAAGAAACAGGTGGTAATAGGTTAATTTACCTTGCAGATGAAATAAAATGTTTATTTACTGTGAGAAATGACAAATATTAACATAGTCACAAGAAAGCTATTACAATACCAATCTAAAAGTCTTGATTTTAAATAAAACATAATAAAATAATAAAATATGCATAAGTTCAGTAGAACCTTATGATAATAGAAATATTCCATATTGGGGCTCCCTGTGGCAATTTCTTTAAAAATATTTTTTATTGACTTTAAGGAGAGGGAGAGAGAGATAGAAACATTAATAAAGAGAGAGAATCATTGATTCGCTGCCTCCTGGATGCTATCCACTGGGGATTGAGGCCACAATCTGGGCATGTGCCCTAACCGGGAATCAAACTGTAACCTCTTGGTTTATAGGTTGATACTCAATCACTGAGCCACAACGGCCTGGTCATGTGGCAATTTAGCACTTGGAAGGAGGCTAATGAAACTGAGGAACTAAACTTTAAATTAAATTAAATTTATTTTAAAAATATATATTTTACTGATTTTTTTACAGAGAGGAAGAGAGAAGAAGGATAGAGTTAGAAACATTGACGAGAGAGAAACATCGATCAGCTGCCTCTTGCAAACCCCCTATTGGGGATGTGCCTGCAGCCAAGGTACATCCCCTTAACTGGAATCGAACCTGGGACCTTTCAGTCAGCAGGCCTACACTCTACCCACTGAGCCAAACCAGTTTTGGCTTTATTTAATTTTAACTATTTTAAATTTAAATAACCACATGTATACTTAACTGCACCGATTTAAAATAAGACTCAATTTTTCTTGTATTTTACCCAACAAGCAAATATGTAAATTGACTGTACCTTCGCTATGCCACCAGCCAATCAGGAGTGATATGCAAATTAACCCAACAAAGATGGCGAGTTTTTTGTGGTTTTTTTTTTTTTTTTTTTTTGCATACTCAGGTGCTGAGAGATGAAGGGGGACACTTGCAGCATTCTGCCCCACCCCTGGTCTCTCAGAGCCTCTGGGCAGTGGGAAGGTAGGGCCTGAGCAGAAAGGGGTTGGGACTGAGGGGAAAGGCGGTGCCAGCAGCCAGGGAAAGGAAAGCTCATTCTAGCAGAAATCTTCGTACATTGGGCTTCTAGTTGTTTTATATTACAAAAACCAACATTACAGGATGCCTCATAAGAAATACATACGTGCATTGTCCATATGGAATCTTATGAATTAGTGCAGCAAGACAGTTGTATAGACTCATTGCTGATGCTATGCAGAAAATTGCTATCATAACATAAACTAGAAAAAAAGAAGAAAAAAAAAACACAAGACACTAAATTATATGAGAACAGAAAAAAATGTAACAAGAAAATATTTACAAAGCAACATTAATTCTTTAGCTTTCTCTTTGGATCACAATACTTTCAACGCACTGACCATATATTATGATCAGAATTGGTTACTAAACTGAAAATATTTGGATCTTTGGTTTTTAAGAGTAATTTGTGTTGTTTTAAGTCTTTTAATCACTGGAAGGATGATTGCTTAAGGAGGTGAAGCTGGCTCTACATTTATTATCATTCAAACTGACATGTTTGTTAAAGATTTCTATCAAGGGAGTTGTAGACATTTATGAGTATTTAATTTTAATGTAAGAAATAGGAGCATGAATAAGCCATTATAAACACTTTTTAAAAATTAAATTAAAAAATTTTAAATTGTCTCAAGTTTTATATATGTCTTCTTTTTTCTGATTGACACCCCCACCCCCGCAACCATTCCCAACCCCGGCAAGCCCCCACCAACTCAGTGTCTGTGTCCACTGGTTATGCTAATATACATGCATATATGTCCTTTGGTTGTTCTCTGTCCCACCATCTCCCCTGCCATTAGTCTCTGGATCTATTTTTGTTCATCAAATTATGTTGATCATTATATCCCACATGAGTGAGATCATGTGGTATTTATCTTTCTCTGACTGGCTTATTTTGCTTAGCATAATGCTCTCCAGTTCCATCCCTGCTGCTGCAAATGGTAAAAAGTTCCTTCTTTTTTTATAGTGGCATAGTATTCCATGCTATCTATGTTTTTCTAAGGTCAAATTTATCTATAACTTGGCCTGCAGTAAAACCAAATCCATTTAAGCAAACATCTTTGTTATGAAACAACTAGAGGTCCGGTGCATGAAATTCATGCATGGTGTGTGTGTGTGTGTGTGTGTCCCTCAGCCTAGCCTGCACCCTCTCCAATGTGGGACCCCTTGAGGGATGTTCCCTACCAGCATGGTCGCCCCCACAGTCCTCCCTTGCCAGCCATCTTGTGTCTACAAGGGGTCAGCCATCTTGTGAGGCCAACACACAAGATGGCCTCACATGGGAGAGGCCATCTTGTGTGCTGGAGTGACAATCAATTTTAATATTACCTCTTTATTATAATAAGAGAATATTAAGGCAGTTAAAATTGACAAGTGTTTTTTTCTTTTCCTTTTTAAGTATTTTAAAAAATATATTTCCATTTATAGCAGAGAGAAAGGGAGAGGGAGAAAGACAGAAACATCAATGATGAGACAGAATCATGGATCAGCTACTTCCTGGATGTCATAACTGGGGATCGAGCTTGCAACCCAGACATATGCCTTGTCTGGTATTTAATCTGGGACCCCCTCAGTCCGCAGTCCAATGCTCCATCCACTGAGCCAAACTAGCTAGGGCGACAAGTGTTTTTCTATAGAAACTATACTTATTTGAGAATTCTTTAAAATAAAAAACATTTGGTCTCCTTGTTGTTAAAATAGGGGGTTGGGGGGGGGGGTTATTGTACTCTAAAACAAAATAAAAATAATTCATTTTCTGAGCTTCATCAAAATTTCTCAATAAAAACACAAATTTTACCTGAATTTTTCAAATTCCACTAAATTGCAAAAAACTATAACTTTTTTGCAGGTGAGAAAGAGAAAGTAATGTAGAGAGAGTAAGTAAGGAATAGCCACTTTCTGATTGGTGATCTTAGACTAATTACTTTAGTCCCTGATTCTCATCTTTAAAATGTGAAATATAATAATACCCATGTCAGGGTTACTGTGAGGATTTAGATAAGTTAATATATAAAAATGCTTAGAAAAGTATCTGGCACATAATTAGCTTTATATATGGTAACTGTTATTTGTTATTTAAATTATCCTATATAATAAATAGCTAATATGCTAATTAGACTGAAACAGAAGAACAACTGTCCAAACGACCTTCTAGACCACATGTGTCAAACACAAGGCCCGCGGGCCAAATCCGTCCCGCCAGGCCTTGCAATGTGGCCCGCACTGCGCTGTCATCACTGCACTCCGCTGCATTTCCATCACAATGACAGTTTATGACTGTTCAGTAAACCATTCGGCCCGCGATTTAGGCTGGATTTTAGATTTTGGCCCCTTCTCTGATTGAGTTCGACACCCCTATTCTAGACTAAGCCAGGGCTGTTGAGGGCTAAGCCCCTTGTTTGAATTTCGTGCATCAAGCCTCTTGGTTATCTATTGTAATATGAATAGTAAGAGAGAGTCAAGATTGTCAAATTAAGTTTGGTAAGTCATCCATCAAGGTCTCCAGCCCAAGTTTTACAACACTGGTGGAAATGAGGCTCTTGGGCCCTAACAGATCTTAGGTGCCTCATTCAGCGCCATATTAGACTTAAGAAAACAATTGGGCGTGGAAAGGAATTTGGTTATTGTAACTGCCTTTAGTTACTTCCTTGAGCATGACAATCATAAAATGGTAAGGGAAACCCTACCATTTTAGTACAGTCCCATCTATACTAATAATAGCCTAGGGTCATCACGACTTAAACTACCAGGTGTATGACCAGTCACCAGGAAGTGCATGGAACACCTCTCAGTCCATCCCCCACAGCTCACAGGCTCCTATCACAGCAAGGCTGCTGGAAGGCGGGCAGGTGGGAGGCGGTGTGTGTGTGTGTGTGTGTGTGTGTGTGTGTGTGTGTGTGGATGGGCGGGGCAAGGGGAGCGGTGAGGTTGTTAGCCTAATGACCTCACCGCTGCCATAATGGCTGAAGATCAGGCACAGAGAGAAGCCCTGCGAAGGCTGTGTATCAGGCCCAGAGATAGGCCCAGAGAGAGAAACAGCTGTCAGTGGGGCCTTCTGGATTTCCCAGAAGAGCCAATGACTGCCTAGGAAGGGGAGCTTTTAATGCTGATTGGCATAGAAACTGACCAATCAGATCCTAGTCTGGGTGAGCTGTGAAGGCAGAACCTAAGATGGGGGCTAAGGAGGGGTTTTAAAGGCAACAGATGTTTATGGTGTAAAGTGTAAGAAAGCAGTTCAATTTTTCAATGTCTGGTTTGGCAGTATAGTGTATATGGCTGGCTATCAGTCCAGATATAAGGATTATGTGTTTTTGTCTGCCAAGAGCATCTCCTCTTGCTGAAAAAGGCTCTCTCCTTCATTTAAGCAATCCTATCCTATATAATCTATCTATACTACTAAAAGGGTAATATGCTAATTAGACAGGTCAACTGGCCATCTTTCAGACGTCCGACTTCCTTCTAGACAAAATCATGGTGGTAGGGGCTGAGGCAGAGAGGATAGTTGGGAATGAGACCAGGCTGGCAGGGGAGGGCCGTTGGGGGCAACCAGGTCAGTAAGGAGGGGCGGGGAAGGGCAGTTAAGGGCAACCAGGCTGACAGGGAAATCAGGGCAGCAGGGGAGAGTAGTTGGGGGCAATCAGGCCAGCAGGGGAGCAGTTGGGGGTGATCAGGCAGGCAGGCAGCGGTGGTTAGGGGCAATCAAGCAGGCAGGCAGAGGCAAGTTAGGGGTGATCAGGCAGGCAGGCAGAGAAGTTAGGAGTGATCAGGCAGGCAGAGGGTTATGGGCAACCAGACTGACAGGTGAGTGGTTAAGAGCCAGCAGTCTCAGATTGCAAGAGGAATGTCTGATTGGAGAGGGTGCAGGTTGGGCTGAGGGAACCTCCTGTGCATGATTTTCATGCACGGGGCTTCTAGCTATTTAATATATTAAGAAAAGGCAGCATATTGAGCCTTATGTGATATTTGTAAGATTTAATTCACCACTTAAAGGTGAATTAAATCTTATAATAATCATATAAGATATTCTCAGAGTTATAATTAAATCCCATGTTCTGGAATAACCTTGAGGTTTAATGATTTTTCTCCTACATCAAAAATTACATTTATAAACAGGGTAAACTTTGATTTGATTTTATATAATACTAGGTGCCAGGTACATGAATTCATGCATGGGTGAAGTCCCTAGCCTGGCCAGCAATCAGGGCCAATCAGTGTCACGGGAGGTTGGCTGTGGAATTGCACAGACCATCAGGAGGAAGCTCCTGTGTTGAGCATCTGTCCCCTGGTGGTCAGTGCAGGTCACAGCGACCAGTCGACCGGTCCCTTAGGCTTTTATATACAGTATATAGTTTATTTTATTTAAAAAAAAATATTTTTATTTATTTTAGGGAGAGAAGAATGAGAAGGATAGAGAGATAGAAACATCATTCAGCTGCCTCCTACACACCTTCTACTGAGGATCAAGTCTGCAACTCGGGCATGTGCCCTGACCAGGAATTACACAGGTGACCTCCTGGTTCATGGGTCAATGCCTAAGTACCGTGAAACACCAGCTAGGCTCATTTCATTTTTTTCAGTGTATGCTTTTATGCTTACTTTAAAGATTTTTAAAACTGACTTTTAGAAATAAGAGAGAGAGAGGGAGAGAGAGAAACATCAATATAAGAGTGAAACATCGATCAATTGATCAGTTGCCTCTTGCATACCTCCTGCTGGGTATTGAGCCCAACCAGCATGTGCCCCAACCAGAACTGAACTGGCAGCCTTTTGGTTCACAGGACAACACCCAACCAACTGAGCCACACCAGCAAGGTCAGGGTCAACTTTTAAAATAGCAATTAGGCCGAGACCGGTTTAGCTCAATGGATAGAGCGTAGGCTTGGGGACTGAAGGGTCCTGGATTCAATTCCAGTCAGGGGCATGTACCTTGGTTGTGGGCATATCCCCAGTGGGGGGTGTGCAGGAGGCAGCTGATTGGTGACTCTCTCTCATCGATGTTTTTAGCTCTCTATCTCTCTCCCTTCCACTCTGCACAAAATCAATAAAATATATTTAAAAAAATAAATAAATAAAATAGCAATTAGTTTAAGAAAATATCTTACCAAAAATTATAACATGTTTTACGATAGAGTACAGAAATTTCTTTTTTTCTATCAAAGACGACTAATATATTGACTAAGCGTCAGACACAAACAACTGAAGATCATTAAAATAGAAAAATTAGCAACCCAATGACAACATAATACAAACAACACCCTAGAACCTACTCTCCCAACAATAGATCGGAATATGAATGATATTCAAAGAATGATTATTTTCTAGCCAAAACCGGTTTGGCTCAGTGGATAGAGCGTCGGTCTGTGGACTGAAAGGTCCCGGGTTCAATTCCGGTCAAGGGCATGTACATTGGTTGTGGGCACATCCCCGGTAGGGAGTGTGCAGGAGGCAGCTGGTCAATGTTTCTCTCTCATTGACGTTTCTAGCTCTCTATCCTTCTCCCTTCCTCTCTGTGGAAAATCAATAAAATATATTTTAAAAAAAGAAAAAAAAGAATGATTATTTTCTAATTGGAACTATATGTCAATAGATCACATTTTCAAAATTGCTGCCACAGGACAGGAGAAACTGAATAAGCTGAAACTAACCTTAAGGTCTCAATTTGCTAGTCCTGGAAAGTATTTTAATGTTCTCCAAATAAGCATTGTAGCCTTTGATGGCTTTTACAAGTTCTCATCAGACATACTCCCCCTTTCCCTGGTCTCATTACCTCCTCTTTGTACTGTATGTTGACCAGGGATGGCATTTTCCATCCTATCAGACAATTATGATTGTCCAGGGGATAAACAAACCATTATGTTCCTATTGCTACCTACTTAAAAAAGTATCACTTACTATAGACCACAGACCGATACCTGTGTGTCTTTAGATGTAATATGACGCTGACTGTTTATACAAGTAAAACAAAATTCAAGTAATATAACATCTTGATTTATAAACTGACAAAAGAATAAACTATACTTTGGGGGTTAGCAAAGGCAATAAATCAGTAATTTGAGTAGCCTTCTATTTCATGTAATTCAATATAGCTACCAAGAAGTCCTTAGCTTGCTCTTTATTTTTAAAATCTACTTTTATTTATTTCAGGGAGGAAGGGAGGAGAGATAAACATTAATGACAGAGAATCATTGATCTGCTGCCGCCTGCATCCTGCCCCACTACTGGAGATAGAGACCACAACCCAGGTATAAGCCCTGACCAAGAATTGAATTGTAACCTCCTCATTCATAGGTCAATTCTCAACCTATGAGCAATACTGGCCATGCTAATCTGTTCTTTAGATATTAGGATTTCATGCTTTATCTACAGGGAGGGAAATTTGGGACCATAACAATTCTTTCAAGTCATCCATGAAGAAGTGTTCTTACCTCAAGACAGTATATTTTTAATCTGAATATTTTTTTTACCCCACAGTAATGAACACCTAACATTTCTAACAATTTAAAAAGTTAATATCACTTTTTATTTATTCACTTAAGTTTTTCATGTAGAAGGGAAAGATAAATCTGCCAAATAAGTGAGAAGATTGTTTGCTGAAAATATGAAATATAAAACATGACTTCTTACCCAACCATTTGTAGAAGAAATAAAGTAAGACCATCATAACACAGCAGATGGCCACAAATATTACAACTGTTAGAGGACTGAAAGTTAAATATTCGTCCTTCTTTCTCCTTGTTTCTCTGTCTTCAGTGTCTGCCATTGCCTTCATGCTTTCCCTGAGTAAACATACACGAGAACTTTAGCAATCTCTTCCAAGTAAAATCATTTGTAAAATCCATCTTTAACACCAACTTAAATTTTTATTACAAAATAATACATTAAAAAAACCCCACCCAAATACCAACAAGAAATGTTTAATCAAGAAAGTAAAAACTCTCTATTATTTTAACCTCCAGAGATAATATTTTTAACCAATGTTTTGACTTTTGAAACAGCATTTTTTCCTGATGCAAAATTGATGAAACAGATGACATATATAAACAACTTAAATTTTGTGGGTGTTCATATTATCTGATTTGGAAACTATATTTATGAAATAAATTTCAGATGATAACCAATTCTTATACACTTAATATTATCAATTTACACATAATCAAGTATTTCTAAAATTAGCTTCTTTTAAATGGAAACAGTAGTAGTTCTTCTATCAACTCAGTATTTACTATATGCTCATCAATACATTCTGAAGGACTGATAGGAGTTCAAGACAAAGCTTTGTCCGACCTTGATTTAAGAGAGCAAAACATTTTTAATTCTTCCAACAACCCTTGCTTTCTAGGTCACACAGTTAATAAAAGGGAGAGATTGAAGTTGAAAAGAAAAAGAGCGTCAGGTGCCCCTTGTTGAACAGTCTCTGTTCTGTCACCTACTGTCTCCTCCCAGCTGTGTGGAAGCCACTGCATCCTTTTCCAGCTCCAATCCCATCAACTCCGGTCTACCTGTGTGCACTACCAGACCTTTTCATCATCTCGGCTCAGTACAAATGTTAGTTAAAAAACAGTTTACTTCTATCAAATTGCACACTTGCCAAACTGCTTATTTACTAACATGCCACTATCTTATTAGACCCTTGTGAACTGGGATGGCCACCACATTAAGCATCTGTGACTTTAGGCATGCTACCTGGGATAAGAGAAGGGAGAGTCTGAGGACAGACTCAACAGCCCCTCCCTGAAACTGTAGAGCTAAAGTGTCATTAACGTAAGTTTCAATAAAAGTGATGCCCAAGTCGGAAAACGTGCCATCTACGGTATCTATCATTATAAACAAATATATTTACTGACTTATTTTTTTTCAATTAGCAGTAATTGTGCCTCAGATAAACCTCTTTGGCTATGATACTGCCAATTCGGAAAGCTAAATAAACAAATTAAGACATTTAAAAAAATATATTTTATTGATTTTTTTTATAGAGAGGAAGGGAGAGGAATAGAGAGTTAGAAACATTGATGAAGGAGAAACATTGATCAGCTGCCTCCTGCACACCCCCTACTGGCAAGTGCCTGCAACCAAGGTGCATTCCCTTGACAGGAATCGAACCCAGGGCCTCTCAATACAAAGGCCGATGCTCTATCCACTGAGCCAAACTGGTCAGGGCTTAAGGACATTTTTTTAATCAGAGTACACATGTAAACTATAATAATGAAGATTTATATGTTCGTATTTGGTGTAATAGAAAGCATGAGGCAATTTCTTGAAGGAAAACATATACTAGACTGATATCAGAAAATAATGGAATTCGTCTTTTTAAAAAAATATTCTCTTAAACTTCTCAAGAGCCACATGCTAAGCTCTTCTCCATGCCATCCTGAGTTTAGAAAGCTTGAGGACCAGTGATCTCGTTATAGTAAGACTTCAAATTTCTACTGAAAAGTCTTTATATGGAACCAAGACATCCTTCCCGTTTGCATAAGGTGTACCTTGCACTTGGCAAGGTAATTCTGGCTTATGAGGCCCTAAGCCTTATTCCCTGCCCTAAGCCTTATTCTCTTTCCGTTCTCTTTCAGTCTTACTCTTTATTTGCTAAATGATAATCCTTATGTTCTTAATAATTCTACTTTTCATGGAAATGCTTTCTTTTTATCACCAATTCATATTCCTTTTTTACTAGAGAACTGGTGCATGAAAATTCATGCACTGGAAGGGGGTCCCTCAGCCTGGCCTGCCCCCTCACATTCCAGGAGCCCTCAGGGGCAGGAGGCGACCTGGCAACGAGGTGAAGGCAATGCCCCTATCACACCTCTGCTGCTGCCATTGCTGGCAGCGCAAGCTTCGGCTGGCCCTGCTTCACAGAGCCTCAGGCAGCCCTGGACAGTCACTATCCGAGGCTTGCTGGGGGCCCCCGGAGGCAGGCACTTGGAGCATTCGAACCCATCTGGGGGAGGGCCCGGCCGTGCCACACGCCTGCCGCCTCGGCAGGGCTAAGAAGACTGGGCACCACCATCTTTGAGAGTGAGGCTGTCCATTAGCATATTCCCTCCTTATTGGCTGTGAGTGCCGCCATCTCTGTGAGGGTGAGATGGTCAATTAGCATATTCTCTCTTTATTAGCTAGAATATGTTGTCACCCTCCCTACCTCAAACATACATACACTTACTTCTATCTTTATCTTACTCTTGACTCAGCTACCTCAATATTAAAATCCATAATCTTATAGGTAAAGGACATCCACTTCCCAATCTGGCTATTGAAGACAACAAATTCTGCTTCTGCCTATCATGATATTATATAAATAAATAAATAAATAAATAAATAAATAAATAAATAAAAGCTTATATGTACTCCTCTCTCATCTCCAGTTTTCTTGAGGAAACTGCCCCGATATATACGTGAAGCCTGCCTTACTGACTCAAAGGGTGGTCCATGGCCAGCAAAATCACCTGGGAGCTTGTTAGCAGTGCAGAATCTCAGTCCCCACCCTGAGCCTCTGTTTTAATGAGATCTCAAGACAATTTGTATGCACATTACAGTTTGAGAAGCACTACTCTAAAGAAACAATGTACAAATAATGAAGTGCAGGATGAATTTATATTAATGGAAAAAGATTTTTAATGAAATAGTAGCTTTTGGGAAATTATAAAGTTTCAACAAATAATCTAGAAAATAATTGGAGATCTAGTTACATACTATGTTTTCTAAAGATTAATATTAATGAAGAAAAATTATCACAAAAAACACTGAAGTTTAATTAAACTTACAATTCAAGTAGTCCACTCCAGTATCCTCCTAATGCCACAGTGAACACAGAAATTACAAAAATAACCACCATCGTATAGTCAAAGTTAGACCTTGACGGTGAATACATTTTCACAGTAATGTTATCTCCAAGAGCCTGAAAGGCAAAAAAAAAAATGAGTTAAAACACCAGCATTGGTTTTCTTCCCACTACAGAGCATGGCAGCAACACTCCAATTTGACTCTGGGATGGACACTGCATCAGGCAGTCAAGAATACTAGAACTAGTTTTGACAATATGATATATTCTCTTGTCAAAATTAGGCGGCTATATTTTGGTTTATTAAATCTTGAAACTGCAGTATTCCATACAATCAGAGGTTTTAAAGGAGTCAAAACAAATCAATATCCTTTCTGGAGTGAGGGCTTGGAAACACGTTGTGCTAAAAGGGAGGTGAATACTTCCCAAGTAAAGACGTGGTAGGCCTTTACAGCTTCTTGTTAGCAAGTGCAGCTTGTATAATCATTTATGTTAAATATCAATGGTTAAAAGTAAAGAGTTGTACTAGGTATGAACATTGTCTAGCATGTAATTACTAATTTACCTGCTTCATATCTTTTAAGTCTTTGTTGTTTATAAATGCAATCAGTATTTTCACATCACCAAATGCAGATCTGTTCCCTGAGGGAGCAAACTAAAAGAAAAAACAACAACACATATCATGAAAATGTATGAACTACTAATACATATACAGAATAAAATCCAAATTATTCCATTAATTAGACTATAACATCTTTATCAAGTTATAAAACAAAGTTTCAAGTGTTTTTAATATTACAGCAAGAGTTCTCAAACTGATATATACAGTTGTATCATATATACAATATGTAACTCTCACACACAAAACTATACATACTTGTTCCTAACAAAGTCTTGTCTACTTTAGAAATAGAAAAGAAACTACAAAATATTCCAATTAAATGCCTATCATAACCAGAAGGTTTATTTTAAGATAATCCTATCAGGTTATTCAAAACTCTGCACACAGAAGGGTAGGTAGTTCAACCTGTGAAATTTGATATCACGAGCTCAAAAGAAATAATTATCTATAATAGGGGTGTCGAACTCAATCAGAGAAGGGGCCAAAATCTAAAATCCAGCCTAAATCGCAGGCCGAATGGTTTACTGAACAGTCATAAACTGTCATTGTGATGGAAACGCAGCGGAGTGCAGTGATGACAGCGCGGTGCGGGCCACACTGCAAGGCCTGGCGGGACGGATTTGGCCCGTGGGCCTTGTGTTTGACACATGTGATCTATAATAATAAAAGCGTAATATACTAATTAGATTGGACAACTGGATGTCCTTCCAGACATCCTTCTGGATGTCCTTCCAGACAAAGCCATGGTGGCAGGGGCCGAGGCAGAGGCAGTTAGGGGCAATCAGGCAGGCAGGCGAGTGGTTAGAGGTGATGAAGCAGGCAGGCAGAGTGGTGAGGGGCAATCAGGCAGGCAGGCAGGCCAGCAGTTAGGAGCCAGCGGTCCCAGATTTTGAGAGGGATGTCCAACAGTGGTTTAGGTTCGAAATCGAAAATCCCCCAAGAGATCCCAGATTTCAATTGTGTGCAGGCTGGGCTGAGCCCCCTCCCGCCCTTGGCCTCTAGTAGTTTTATAACTTACTACAATACTGTTATTGGCAACCAACAATGCTTCAGCACCTCCGGTTTCTGCAATTCTGGCCTTTTCAAGAAAATGGCAGGTTCCCCACTGAACCACAACTGCTTTGTTCTTTATGCCATCAGGAGGAATATCAGAAATATCACACAGTGGTGTGGAAGTCAGATTCTTCAAACTAAAGGAAGTCTGAAAAGAAGAAATGTCTTTAGTATAGTAAATACGTACCGTATTTCACCCTAAATGCATTTAGTGACAAAGTATCTATTGATTTAATACAATGTCCCTTTAGGTAAATCAAAAAGATTTCATGATGATCAGGCTTTGAAGTATTTTAAAATTCCCTAGCTTAGTTTTCCCTCAGAGAGAAAAATATTTAAGCTAAAGCAAAAAATTAATAAAAATAAGTTATTATTTATTAATCACATATTACAAATAGTTCATACACTGAAAATAACAATCACTCATTTTCACCTTTCAATATTTTTGTTTACAAAGAAATAGTAACTGCAATGTACTTACTGCATTTTCTAGGGTCGTTGGCAGAGCTGTCCAGTGAGGGTTGTAGACCATGCAGTAGTCCTTAGATGGTGAAGGTGTGCCAATTCCAGATGCGTGCAGGATTGCTTCCTGAGCAGCTGTCTGGGACATGAACAATAATTGTCACACTAGCAATGATTTGGCTTTGCCAACAACTAAGGATTTTATTAAACCTACTTATATCTAGGTTGGACCACATTTCCTTAAGAGGGAAAGTCTTCCAGTGAATTTACCTTTTCTTATTTGAGAAAACACTGAAACTACAATATATACATTTGCCTAGAACACGTTCTTTGAGGAAGCCACTTTCTTATGGGGTGTTGTTATGGCCCTTGCTGTGAGAGCCATATCCCAGGGAGGATTCTTGCTGTGCTGTGATCATTTCGGAATTCCCTTCAGAAACTGCCTGAAACTTTCCTCCCAAACCCCATTGGGACTTGTTTCTTCATTATTTATGTTCTATAACAGAAAATCCATGTGAAATCCCATAACCCACTTGTACCTTCCATAGTATGAATAACTAAGATCTTTTTTAAAAGAATATTATCATTTCAAAGTGCTATTTTTAGAAAAGAACCAAAGAATTCTCAAGTTTTCAAGATTCCCCAACTGCCTATTAAAAAAGAGCAATCACTTTAAGTGAAGGCAAAGAGCTAGAAAAGTGTTTTTTTCCTTTTGCCTCATTTCCCTCTGTCTGGAAGGGGGGGAGGGGTAAGAAGTGATTGAAAAGAGTAAGTATTATACATGAGTGTGAAAGTAGAGAGTATGAAATGATGAAACATCCCACAATAATTAGAATACCACTCCACATCACGATTCCCTTCACACTTAAATCAATTCAAATCTCAAATCCCACTTTTCTCCTCCTTTGAACAAATCTTTCTCTAAAACATAAGGGAGAAAAAAGATTGGTGATTGGTTGGTAAATGAAGATGATAGACGAAGCCTCTACTAAAGACCTTCCCCAAGGGGATGCATGCATTAGGTTGAGCCACATCAAATTGCTGATAATTGAACATTTTGTTCTATAAAATTGGCAATTTCGTGTACGACCATCTAAATTTTTAATGAGTACAAAATGCTCTAACCCATGCTCTCCTACCTAAAATTTCCCCCAGAACATTTGGGATTAGAAAGCTTTCTGGCATAGGGACTTTGTTAGCTTAAGGATCTAAGCCAGTATAGGGGATTCCTTTAAAACGTCATCAAATTACAGAGAATAATTAAAGATATTATTTGTGGGGGGGAAAATGTAGTTTTCATTTGGCTATATATATGGTGGCCATGAGTGGATTCTGACAGCGGAAGATGAATCAACATATTAGACTCTTACTATACACCAAATTATTTTTGTTACAAACTGTACAAATGAAACAAAGTATATTTAGGTTATTTTCATGCATCTGTCTGATTCTGTATCACTGTTTTACAAATGAGGGCTTTGAGACTCAGAGAAGTTATTAACATAGTCTACCTAAGGTCATACGGTAGAATCATCCCCAATTCTAGAGAAGGTAATCCTGTTGATAATTATGAGAGTGAATTAGGTTTAGATTACACATTTTTAAAAAGAATACTCCATAAGTGAACTGGGTACTTATGGCATCCAATAAAATGGCACATGAGCCCAGCTGGCATGGTTCAGTGATTGAGCTTTGAACCATGAACCAGGAGATCATGGTTCAATTCCCACCCAGAATACATGCCTGTGTTGCGGGCTGGATCCTCAGTGTGAGATGTGCAGGAGGCAGCCGATCAACAATCTCCCTCTCCCTCTATTTTCCTCTCTGAAATCAACATATATATATGTAGAATGGCACATGATGTCAGGATATCCCTCACCAGTGCTGCCAAGTTTAATTATTTGATTACTAGCAACTGCAGGATTTCTCTAGGGTAAAGTTATATATTTCCCTTTTGTGATTGGTAAGTAATTTGTTGCACCATGTGAACAGTCCAATAACCTTTCACCTACTGTTTTAGCTCCCATGAACTTCCATGCCTGAAATTTATTTTACATATTAAGTTGGGTATTGCAGAACAGTATATTTAAAAAATGTTTTATATTGATTTTTAGAGAGAGGGGAAGGAGGGAGAGAGATAGAAACATTGATGAGAGAGAAATATCAACCCTGAACGGCTGCCTCCTGCATGCTCCTTTCTGGGAATGATGCCTAAAACCCAGGCATGTGCCCTGACCAGAAATCAAACAGATGATCTCTCAACTACTGAGCCACACTAGCCAGGCAGTAAATGTTTTTTAATACTATCATTCCTTCTACATTTATTTTTTTTAAATATATTTAAAATATGATTTTTCACAGAGAGGAAGAGAAAGGGATAGAGAGTTAGAAACATCGATGAGAGAGAATCATCGACCAGCTGCCTCCTACACACCCCCTACTGGGGATGTGCTCGCAACCAATGTATATGCCCTTGACTGGAATCGAACCTGGAACCTTTCAGTCCGCAGACCGACACTCTATCCACTGAGCCAAACCGGTTTCAGCTACATTTATTCTTTAAAAATGTTTTACTCTCTCCCTCTATTACCTTTTTTTTTTTTTTTTTTTTTTTTTTTTAGTATCATACTCAATTTATTTTTAAAAAGTATTTTTTTTAATTGATTTCAGAGAGGAAGAGAGGAGAGAAACATCAAGGATGAGAGAGATCACTGATTGGCTACCTTGTGCACACCCCCCCACTGGAGAGTAAGCCCACAGTCTTACTCTTAGCATGTGCCTGGAAGGGGAATGGAACCATGGCCTCCTGGTTCATAGGTCAATACTAAACCACTGAGCCACGCCAGTCAGGCAAGACTCATTAATTTTTTAAAAAATCCAATGTGGTGTAATTACAATTAAGCATTTTGCTGACCAAATTGTCCCAAATTTGGCCAACAGAAACTCTTCCAGCTGGTTCTTTGTATCCTTTTGACGGGATTTCATTAGTCTTGGAGGACTTCCATTTTTTTTTTGCACAAGATATCCTAGACGAGCTTATCCTTTACCTGCCTCAAATCTGTAACCAGCTATTCTACTAAGCTCCTTTAGGAGAGGGACAATATTTAGATCAGGACTTCAGTTACTGTGCACATGGCTGTTAAAGTGGTATAGCCTTTATAATAGACAACTGGTAGTATCAATAAAAAATGTTAATACATAGAATCCTCTGATTCATATCCTACAGGTGTGTTATGCAAATGCACAAAGATAAATGTATAAGGATATTCACTGCAGTATTATTTGTTATAGAAAAAAAAAAAATCAGCAACTTCCACCAATAAGGAGCCCATCATAGTACACAGCTATTAAAAAGAAACAACTAGATCTATCTGTAGAAACAGATGTCCATAGTGAGAAAAGCAAATTCCAGGGAGATACTTATAGTCTAATCCTATTTTTATAAAAGTATTGACCCATCCCTCTTCCCAAGCTCCTTATAAATATTTACTAGAGACCCGGTACCTGCATTCATGCACCAGTGGAGTCCCTCGGCCTGGTCTAAACCCTCTCGCAATCTGGGATCCCTCAGGGGATCTTGGAGAGCCAGTTTTGGCCCTATCCCCACAGGCCAGGCCGAGGGACCCCACTGGTGCACAAATCCATGCACCAGACTAGTTTTGGCCTGATCTCTATAGGCCAGGGCCTCTAGTATGCAGTAAGATCTTTGGTTAGCCCTAGCTGGTTTGGCTCAGTGGATAGAGCATCGGCCTGTGGATTGAAAGGTCCCAGGTTCAATTCCAGTCAAGGGCACATGCCCGGGGTTGTGGGCTCAACCTCCAATAGGGTGTGTGTAGGAGGCAGCCTATCAGTGGTTCTTTCTCATCATTGATGTTTCTCTCTCTTTCTTCTCTCTTCCTCTCTGAAATCAACAAAATATATTGAAAAAATGAAAAATAAAAGAAACCACGGTCTTTTTTAAAAAAAAGATCTTTGATTAATCTCTTCCTGCTCCCCGTCCCCCCTTCCCTTCGAAATTCATCAGTCTGTTCCATGTTTCCATGCCTGAGCATTGAGCATCTGACCCTGGCAGTCAGTGTGGTCACAGCTACCAGTCAAAAGATCGCTTAGGCTTTTTTATATGTATAGATGTGAGCTTGAAGAAGGATGTTGAGAGAGAGACACACCAGACTATTTGAAATACAAACAAACAAACAAAACAGAGTGAGAGGAAAACAAAAGCAAAATTAAGGGTGTAAAGACTGGAAAGAGAAACTTAAAAAAGAAAGAAAGAAAAAAAGCATTCAAATAGAACAGAAAGGTATAAAGTCTCTCCCCAGCTTATCTGCTCCTTACTGCTGGCCCCAAATCCTCCCTCTCACACCATTTTCTACAACCACTGGTCATGGAATCAAATGTTCTCTAGGGCCATCAAACCATCAACCTCACACAGTGCCTTTATTTTTGCATTTTACTTGGCCCTCACTTGCAAGGGAAGTAAACTAGCCCATAAGTATCAAGTAGTCCTTCCTTTTTTGACTCAAATTCACCTCATAAAACTTCATGGGATGCCTGTTATTTGTGAACAATTCCTAATTTACTTATTCAGATGACTTGACTTCATACTCCATCATCTTCTTTTCAAATCAAAGAGTATTGATGTTTAAGTCTATCTTAACATTATAGCTGCCTATTCCTTTGACCATCTTTCTCCAAATAGCTTTTGGTATGACAAGTGGCAAACGTTTACCAAAATCTAAAAAAAGACTGTAGTGGTGGATGCCATGTTCACATGCTTGCAGGGGTACTATCTCCTCGTTTTCCGGGACCAATCAGACCTTAAAGAGGGACATGTCTAAGGACTTTTATTTTATAAGCGTACTTACACTGAGTCAATTTTGCTCTAACCTTCAAATCTCTGCCTCTTGGGGCTGTGTTCATGCTTTGCACTCCTGTCACTTGGTAGTTCCAACCACAGGCATTTGAATTCCTGGCCTCTGTTCCAACAGACTCTTGATGCTGACTCACCAGTCCCATATTAACTTACTGGGAACAGGCCTGTTCTACTGTCCACAATAACAACACAGTTCGAAGAGTCTTCTTTGACCTTGGTTAACAGGTTTGATTTTTTTTTGTCTTCTACCCTTCTTTCTCTTTAAAAGGTATCTTCCAGCACTGGATCTATTTTCTATATTCCTTTCAAAAATAACAATTCTCTAGCTAAAAGTTTACTTAACACAGTGGTCGGCAAACTCATTAGTCAACAGAGCCAAATATCAACAGTACAACGATTGAAATTTCTTTTAAGAGCCAAATTTTTAAACTTAAACTTCTTCTAACACCACTTCTTCAAAACAGACTATCCCAGGCCGTGGTATTTTGTGGAAGAGCCACACTCAAGGGGCCAAAGAGCCGTATGTGGCTCACGAGCCAGTTTGTCGACCACAGACCTAACATACTACTCCTGACTCTGTATCCACGCGAGGGCATCAAATAGGGACTGAAGGGAATCCAAGGAGTCTATGGGCCAGGGAAAAAATAGAGCCAGACTCATTCCTTGCACTTGGAGAATCTGGGACATGTAATATACAGGCTAAGAGGTACTAGGTTTGGGAGAGGAGCCCATGCATTCATTCAACACTCTGCAGTATATGAATGAGTCAGGATTTCTCCTTCATGGGGCTTATATTCTCTTGCTATGTAGAGCCAGACTTCTTCCTGATTTTTCCTAAGTAATCTTATTACTTAATGATGAATCTCAGGTGTTAGAGAATTCATGAATTATACCAGAATTCACAAACTCAAATGGTTAAAAGGCTAAGCAGGCAATATAAATGCACAAATCAGAGTTGATTTAAGACCATAAGGCATGGTTAAGTTTGGCAAATTCTGGCCTAACACAATAAAAAAAAAAAAAAAAATTTTTTTTCTCCTTAATATATAGTACAATATCTTGGGGTAAAGTCCTAAACCAGGAGACTTTATGGTCTAGATTTTTTTTTTTTTAAAAGAACCAATTTCAGGTGATTTTTAATAACAAGAAAAATCAGGCTGGTTGACCTATTTGGAAATGTCTTTTGTGTGAAGTGTAAAAAAAAAAAAAATCAAATATATAATAAACATGACTCCTCATATCTTTAAACCTTTTCTTATGAATAACTTCACAAATTTATGAATAACTTCACAAATTTATCTCATTTGAATTGATTTATTTTGTATTCACAAAAAAATAATTATTACAGAATTTAGTGAAAAAGATATCAAGAAATGCCTACAATTCCTTGGATCTAGTCGTCTTTTTCTTAACTTTCTATGTAATCTAGGACATCATAACCTTCCTGAATCTTCAAGGTTTGAGTTTAAAAGGAGATGTATATGGAAGAGTTGCATTTTGGGAAGAAGGTACACAGTTATCAGTGACTTAGAAAGCAGACAATGAATGAGATGCAGAATTCAGAGATAGCTCAGAATAGAGAAGGTAAAAGGAAAACTGCGGAAAATCTCAAAGTTAAAGGAGGAATGTGACAAAACCAGCATGTCTAAGCTCAGGGTGCCATAACTAAATACTATAAACTGGGCAGCTTTATCAACACAAATTTATTTCCTCATAGTCCAGAACCTAAAAATCCAAGAGCAAGGTACTAGCGTGGTTGACTTTGGTAAGGGCTCTCTTTCTAGCTTGTAGATGGTTGCCTTATCACTATGTCCTCACTTGGTGTTGAGGTGGGTGGAGGAGAGGGAGGAGAGCAAGGCAGCAATCATCATTAGAGCCCTGCCCAGATGATCTCATTTGAATGGCCCAATCTCCAAATACCACTACACTAGGTGTTAGGACTTCAACTCAAGAATTTGGGAGCACACAAAGCAGTCCACAGCATCTGCCTCTAGCCCCCAAAAGTCATGACCTTCTCACATGCAAAATACATTTCATTCTACTCTAACAGCCCCTACAGTCCTAACTCATTCCATCCAGTATCAATTCTAATGTCTGAAGTCTCATCTAAATATCATCTACACCAGATATGGTAAGACTCAAGCTACAGTTCATCCTGAGGCAAAATCCCTGTGATTTCAAAATATAATGGTGGACAGGCGTTTGGATAGACATTCCCATTACAAAAGGGAGAAACTGGAAAGAATAGGGCGATGGGACACAAGGAAGTCTAAAGCCTAGCAATACAAATTCCTTTAGATCTTAACACGTTAAGCGCCAAGCCTATTTTGTCCTTTCCGTTTCAGTCACTGACATGGCGCTTAACGTGTTAAGGCTCAAAAATAGTCCCTTTTGGCTCAACATCCCCATCTTTCAGGCGCAATGCGGTGGCAGTATCAATCAGCATGATGACCCTGACTCGTCTTTGGGACCATTTCTCCCCCTTCCTGAAGAATAATGCAAGTTCACAGCCACATAGCTCCATCATCCCATCCTGTCAAATCCAGTAAGTCCAACCACCTTTCTTCATCTGGCACCATCGCTAGCTCCTTTAAGTCAAAGTGGCAGTGTTTCTGCTCATATAACCCCATTCATTTGTTATCAAATGGTTGTTCAGCTACACCCTTTGCTCTTCTCAGAGAAGTTTTCTTATCTTTTGCAATGCTGATAGGCTGAGAATTTTCAAATCTTCAAATCCTGGTTCCTTTTTCTTTTCTTTTTTTTTTTTAATATATTTTATTTTATTGATTTTTAAAAAAAATCCTCACCTGAGGATATGCTTGTTTATTTATTTATATATTTTATTGATTTTTTACAGAGAGGGAGGGAGAGGGATAGAGTTAGAAACATTGATGAGAGAGAAACGTCAATCAGCTGCCCCCTGCACAGCCCCAACTGGGAATGCGCCCTTGACCAGATTCGAACCTGGGATCCTTTAATCTGCAGGCCGAAGCTCTATCTACTGAGCCAGACTGCTTTCGGCAGTTCCTTTTTCTTTTTTTCCTGAATCATTTACCTTTTATTTTTTTTTTTACTGTCTGAAGTTTTACACTGGTTCCTTTTTCTTAACAATTCCTTCAATTCCTCTCTCTCCTTTTGCAGTCGAGAGGAACCAAGCTGCTCCGTGAGCACTTTGCTTAGAAATCTCCTCAGCTAATATCTAATCTCACTCTTCACAGTTCTTCCGTCCACAAAACCCTATAACACAATTCGGCCAAGTTCTTTGCCATTTTAACAAGGATTTCCTTTCCTCCAGTTTCCAATGACACTTTTGTTCCTCGTGTCTGTCACACATCTCACCAGAATCGCCCTGAAGGTCTACATTTCAATCATGCACCCCAAGTCTCTTCTATCCTCCCATTACCAGATATAAAGCTGCTTCCACATGGTTAGGCATTTGTTACAACAGTACCCCAGTCCTGATGCTAAAACCTGTCTTAGCTTGGGTTGCCATAACAAAATATCAGAGTGGGTTGCTTACACAGCAATTTACCGTATTTTTCGGACCATGAGACGCACTTTTTCCCCCCCCAGAAGTGGGGGGAAAAAGTCCCTGAGTCTTATGGTCCAAATATAGCCTACACATATACTTTAAAAAAAAAGTTTTTTTACTTGCCCGGCTCTGTGTGGTCTCTGTGTGCTTGCCCGGCTCTAAAATGGTTCTAAATGCTGCTGTTTACTTTACAGGGTTGATTACATGTGTTTATGACTGTGATGTTGGGTTTTAATGCACATAAAATATTTTAGGACACTATTTGTTTCAGAATCTTTTTTTCTTCATTTCCCTTCTCTAAAAACTGGTGCGTCTTATGGTCCGGAGCGTCTTATGGTCCGAAAAATACGGTATTTTCTCACAGTTCTAGAGACCGAGATAAAGGTGCCAGCATGGTTGGCTTCCATTGAGAGCTTTCCTTCCGGCCTGTACAGACTGCCATCTGCTCACTGTGCATTCACGTGGTGGTGGCGAGGAGAGGAGTTGAAGGGACAGGGGGGGAGGAACAACAAGCTCTCTGGTGTCTTTTTTTTTTAATAAGGTCACAAGGGACCTACCCTCTGACCTCATAGAAATCTATGATCTCCAAATAACATCACCTTGGGGGTTAGGGCTTTAACCTGAAGGGGGGCACAGTTCAGACCACAGCACAGCAGCTCAGATGGCCTGGGTAGCGAACACACCTAGTTTCCCCAGAAGGTTGAGAGAGGAGGGCAGAGGAGAAGGAATTAAAGAAGATTCTTTGAATTGGTATAATATACCAAAGAAATGCAAATTTTGACAAGAGATTTTTCTACCAGGATCCTGATTATCACACTTCATTTCAAGATGTGACTATATGACACTTTAAAATCTTTGAAGATATGAATAAATGATAGAACTTTTGTAAAAAAAAAAAAAAAAAAAAAATTATGGCCGGGACCGGTTTGGCTCAGTGGATAGAGCGTCGGCTTGGGGACTCAAAGGCCCCGGGTTCGATTCCGGTCAAGGGCATGTACCTTGGTTGCGGGCATATCCCCAGTAGGGGGTGTGCAAGAGGCAGCCGATCGATGACTCTCATTGATGTTTCTAACTCTCTCTCTCTCTCTCTCTCTCTCTCTCCCTTCCTCTCTGTACAAAAAAAAAAAAAAAAAAAAATTATGAAGAAGGTTCAGGATTTCTCTCTGAAACAGAATTTTGTGACTGTGTCCAAATAACACCATGAAAGGTCAAAACATTGGGGCTGGGAGTTGGATTGCACTGGAGAAAGATGAGTGTGAAATGGAAAATGACAAGGCCAAGAGAGAATCAACTACCTACAAGGCACTCTTTTTAACTCTAGCCTTAAGGTTAATGGGCTTAGAATCCGTTAAAATAGCCGGACGTGCAGTAGCTTGATTTCAATATACACAGTGAGGCCACTGTTTTGAAGAAGACAAGACGAGGAGGCTACGTGATGTGAAGGGCCCTTCCAATACTAAATTCTACAAATCAAAGCAGAATGCTTTACATACCCACTATCCTCTGGTTTCCATCAGATCCCTGCAGGCCAGGCTGAGGGGCCTCCCCCTCCCCCCCGCACATGATCACATGATCGGGTAAGGGAGAGACCGCAGGAGGGTTCTAGGGCGTGTCTGGCCCATCTAGCCCAGTCCATATTGGCTGGACCCCAGTAGCAAGCTAATCTACTGGTTGAAGCGTCGTTCAACCCCCCCCTTCTCTCCCCCCCTCAAACCCCCCCCCCGTGGTCAATGCATGTCATAGCAGCAACTGGTTGAACAGTCAAACGAATGGTCTGACACTTAGCATATTAGGCTTTTATTATATAGAATTTTCCTTTTCCGTCTCTGAACATACTGTGTATGTGGGATTCCCCTACATGTATATGCATTAAAGTTGGTTATTTTCTCCTGCTAATTAACCTCATGCCTATTTGATTATTAGACCAAGAAACCTTGGAGATAAAGGGAACTTTGTTCCTCCCACAGTCTACACAACCCTGGGACTGAGGAGTTCAGAACCCAAGATTAATATAGTCAGATATAACAAAATATACATGTGCAATAAAAAAGAATAAAAACTAGGCCAAAACCGGTTTGGCTCAGTGGTAAGAGTGTAGGTCTGCGGACTGAAAGGTCCCAGGTTTGATTCTGGTCAAGGGCATGTACATTGGTTGCGTGCACATCCCCGGTTAGGGGTGTGCAAGAGGCAGTTGGGCAATGTTTCTCTCTCATCTACGTTTCTAGCTCTCTCCCTTCCTCTCTGTAAAAAATCAATAAAATATATTAAAAAAAAAAAAAGAATAAAAACTAGAATGTGGAAGTAATAGGCTAGCTGCAGTTTAGAGAAAGGACAACCTGAAAATTTGGTAAGCCCTTACTCTCTGCCTCTTCTACAGGAATGCGGCGGCAGTTTCTGGAGTGCTGCCTCCAGATAAGGATGCTCTTACATGACTAAGGGGAAAGATGCTCCGCAGTGCCAGCAGCAAGAGCCCAGAAAGGAGAAATGAAATGATTACGCTGGTGTCATTAATCCAAAAGAACTCAGAGAAGCCACCTAAGGCTGGATTTGGGGGGAAGATGGATAAGCAAGGGCTTTAGGGAGAAAATAATAAGAAACCAAACAACCAGTACTAGAGAGTGCTGAGAGAAGGTACTAGGTATCCAGTAAGTAAGCCAAAGGGAGAGGGCTCCGGCTAAAAAGAAGGGTACTAGATTTACTTGAGTTTCTCGAAAAGGAAAGAAATGAGCCGGGACCGGTTTGGCTCAGTGGATAGAGCGTCAGTCTGAGGACTGAAAGGTCCCTGGTTCGATTCCGGTCAAGGGCATGTACCTTGGTTGCAGGCACATCCCCAGTGGGGGGTGTGCAAGAGGCAGCTGATCGATGATTCTCTCTCATTGATGTTTCTAGCTCTCTATCCCTTCTCTCTTCCTCTCTGTGAAAAATCAATAAAATATATTTTTTAAAAAAAAGGAAAGGAAAGAAATGAGAATTTAGATCATTTCAGGAGATTAAAGGAAGAGACAAGAGGAAAGCAAACTCTTCAGTTCACGTTCTAACCTCTGAGTCACACATTTTCCTTTTCTGTCTCTGAATTTAACTGTGCACGTGGAATTTCCATGCGAATGTATGCATTAAAGTTGGGTTATTTTTTTCTTGCTAATCTGCCTCATGCATATTTGATTATTAAACTAAAGAACCTTGGAGAAAAAAGGAAGGTCGTTCCTCCCACAGTCCACACAACCCTGGAACCGAGGACTACGGAACCCAAGATTAATACGGTAAGCTATAACAAAATGTAACACACAACATAAAAAGAATAAAAACTAGGATGTGGAAGTGATAGGCTAGCTACAATTTAGAGCAAGGACAACCTTTAAATTTGGTAAGCCCTTAAAATTATATCAAAAGTCTGATTGAATTTTTCTATTGAGAGGGTTCTGAGCTTTTGTTTTGTTTTGTTTTGTTTTGTGTGTGACTCCTCCTCAACCAAGGTTATTTTTCCCAATGATTTTAGAGAGTGGAAGGGAAGGGGGGGGGGGGTTGAGAAAAGAAAGAGGGAGGAAGGGAACAAGAGAGAGAGAGAGAGAGAGAGAGGCATCAATGTGAAAGAGACACGTGAATTGGTTGCCTCCCACACACACCCACACAGGGCCAGGATCCAACCTGAACCCAGGTACCTGCCTTGACAGGGAATGAACCCAAGACCTTTCAGTGGGTGGGCGGGTGCTCGAACCACTAAATGACAGGCCAGGGCTCAGAGCTTTTATAAGCATTTCATTTACTGAACATCATACTATAAAATAAATATAAAAAAAAGAATTTCAATGTGAGTTTTTATGAGCAACTGATGTATTATTAGGTTAGTTATTAATTTGTGTTGAGAAAGGATTAGTGAGAATGTGATATAGAAGATACATTCCTACAATTAGCTTAAGAAGTTCAAATGACAGTGAGTACAAAGCCATTCAGACAAGCTTTACATCTAGATTATGGTTTTATGTGCAGTTATCTTTTGGACATATCTGATTATATAACAGCTGAAAGGTTCAGTCTAACACTGTTACTTTGTTGTTTTGCTTACATTGTACACCCCCCACAAACAATATTTGGATTCATTACCTCTTCATGCTCCTAATGTTGCCTAGCAAATTATGAATACACCAACCAAAGGCGCGTGTTCACGTTAGGTTTTGCTTTTGGTTTCTTAATAAATGTTAAAGACACTAAAAAAGAAATGTTAAAGACACTTGCATATTGAATATATTCACTAGCAGTAATCCTTTAAAGTGGAGAATATGCATAATACACTCTTCCAAAGAAGCTGCACATTCAAATGGGAAGAACTAGACAGGCATACATCCTACAAATCCTGTGTAAATAAAGCTCCTAAAAGTTTCCAACCTGAAACTCTCTAAGTGAAATCTACAAGAAGCAAACAAACACGGAGCCACTGAACACGGGCTCCTGACCACGCACAGAAGCTCCCGTTGTTTGATACTGAATTTTAAAACATGACCCCTTCCCTGTAATTATGAAAACAAACTTGTGAGCCCATATGTGTTACTCCTCTCCCCTTTCAAGTAGGCAGAGAACTAGGAACCACGTTCGTATGCTCTTTTTAAAGTTACTTTAAATCATTGCTATTGCCCAAACCTCCCAGAATGCAATCAAAGGAACCCCAAGGCGAGGAAGGAACTACAGCGGAAGGAAAAACAAAACAAAAACACCTATGGGAGCAATGAAACCGAAACACAGTCCTTGACCAGCGGCTGACCTTCCTGGGACCGTGTACATTTTATTTTTCCTTCTTCCCGAGGAGGAAAAAGGCTAAGCGGCAGCAGAAAGAGAGGCGAGGATCAATCTCAGAGGCCGATTAAAAACGCCCAGAAAACTATACAGAGGCACCAAGGTCACTGTGGCTTAAGGGGCTTCCTTGGGGACTGATACTTCGAGGGCTTCCGAGGACAGGAGTGGGGGTGGGAGGGTGGAGGGGAAAAGGTGAGCAAGTGGCTGGAAGGACAGAGAGGTCTGGGGAAGGGAGGGAGAGAGAGGGAGAAGGGAAGGAGAGGAGGGGAAGAGAGAGAAGGGAGAAGGAGGGGAGAGGAGGGAGAAGGCAGGGAGAGGAGGGGGAAGAGAGGGAGAGGAGGGGGAAGGCAGGGAGAGGAGGGAGAAGGCAGGGAGAGGAGGGAGAAGAGAGAGAGAGGAGGGGAAGGGAGAGGAGGGGGAAGGCAGGGAAAGAAGGGGGAAGGCAGGGGAAGGAGGGAAAAGGAGGGGAGAGGAGGGAGAAGGAGGGGAGAGGAGGGAAAGGAGGGGGGAGACAGGGGAGAACCAGGGCAGGCCGCGGGCGGAGAGGTCGGCCGGTGCAGGGAGGGAAGGAGCCGGGCCCAGTCTGGCCCCGGGAGGCCGGGAGGCCGGGAGGGAAGCCCGCCCGCCGCCCGCCGCCCGCCGCCCGCCGCCCCCTTACCAGCCGGAGGAGGACGCCCCAGAGCAGGGCGGCCCCGGCGCGGAGCGGCCGCGGCGGCCCCATCGCTGAGCTGGGCGCCCGGAGGCGCGGCGGGCGCTGGTCGGCGGGGCGGGCGCGGGGTCCCGGCGCTGCCTCCGAAGCCGAGCCGGACCGGAGGGTGGCGGGGCTTGGCCCGGGTCGCCGATGTCGCTGGGGAGGCCACTGCGGCGCCGACTTCCTTTTCCGGCCACGCCCGGAGGACGCGGAAACCCCCGCGCGGAGCACGAGGAGCCGAGTCTGCGTCGCCGCCTGCCCGGCGCTCCTCCGCCGCGGGCCGGGCGTTCTCTGTCCAGATGCCGGACTGAATGCTCCCCGCGGGCTGGGAAGGTCCAGATGCCGGACTGAATGCCCCCCGCGGGCTGGGAAGGTCCAGATGCCGGACTGAATGCCCCCCGCGGGGCTGGGAAGGTCCAGATGCCGGACTGAATGCTCCCCGCGGGGCTGGGAAGGTCCAGATGCCGGGGGAGAACAGATGCGGGGCCGGAATTCTCCCCGCGGCGTCCTGAATGCAGGGCTTTCCCAGACCCTCCTCCTCGCAGCAGCCGCCCAGCGCCGCCGTGCAGTCCCTTTCCTGGTGCCCTTAGCCCAGTCCGGACTCCCCGGCGGGTGCTGGCCGCCGCACACACAGGTCCTAGGTCCGGACACTGCAGAACCGCTGCGGCCACCCTCTCCAGGACACCTCCCTGTCCCCTCCAAACTGGCCTCTGTTTCCATCCCCCAGAGCCCGTTATCTAAAGAGCAGCCCTTTTAAAGAGGTCTCTTTAAAAGTATGTCAGCACATGTCACACCCCTATCACCCTTGGTCATAAGGTGACCAGATTTTAACATTGGTAAAGCGGGACACCATTGACGCGGGTAGAGGGATGGAGGGGTTTTTGGTTAAAAATTTGGTCTATATGGAGCAACAAAAATTTTCATAGAACGCAAAAATAGTATTGTAATACCCTGTTTCCCCGAAAATAAGACAATGTCTTACATTAATTTTTGCTCCCAAAGATGCGCTAGGTCTTATTTTCAGGGGATGTCTTATTTTTCCATGAAGAAGAATACGGTACATATTTATTGTTAAATGAAAATAAAGGAAATTTATTACCTGTATACGGTACGGTAGTACGGTAGTTGGCAACACAAACCAGACAAACTGTGAATCCTACAGTATCAAGAATTTACTCATTTATTCAATGACAATCATGTCATCATCTTCTGGAACATCATCATAACAATCCAATTCCTGAATTTCTTGTGACTCCATTTCTTTCAGAATCAGTGGACCAAATCTCTCATGTTTAGCCTGGGGTGGGGGGTATTTTCAGTGGGATGCCTTACGTTTTACTCAGAAGGAAACCTGTAAGCAGGTCTTATTTTCGGAGGATGTCTTATTTTCGGGGAAACACGGTAGTAACCTAACCCAGGCCAGGCATTGTGAGGGCCTGAACTGAAACAGTGGCAAAAGAAATGGGGAGGAAGAGATGGATCTAAAAGATTTGTAGCAGAATTTTGTAACTGGGAGGACTTAGAGATGGAGGAGGATCCTGCCCTAGGCCATTTATTGAGATGATCACCACAGGAGGTGAGGGTGGCAGTGGAATGGGTGAGGGAGGGGAAATGCTTTTGGATGTGAGTTTGAAATGCTTGTGGGATCTGGTCAGAACTCAGTTCTCCTCTCTGTCAATCCTAGTCTCTGTTTGCTTCCATGTTTTCCTTTTGTAAAATGGCTGAATGACTTTATTTCTAAATATTCCCTTCTAACCATGGTGGCCCTTAACCTAGTGAATCTCCAAGTTGGCTCTGAGGCTGTCTACAAGTATTAGGTAGGATAAAGATGACCTGTGTAAAGGGCCCCCTTGGGAATGCAGATGGATGACCTTTAATTATCATCAGCTGAACTCGAGGCTTTGGCAGAGCCACGCCCTGGGAACATGTTTCCCCAAAATGTGGGAGACTGTTATCAGGACTGATTTCTTTATTCATGTGCTTGGAATGAGGAATGAATAGGATCTTGTCTTACCCAGGTCTTGATATGCTAAATCCCAGGAATGAGGGAATGAATGAATAGGACCTGGGCACACCCAAAACTTCTTTGGACCTTAAGCCCCCCTCTGGAAATCAATGTGCTGTGTTGGCTTTGGTGGGGGTGGCTGTCCCTTCATCAGAGTGACATCCTCCACCCAGCACCCAGCTGGAACCTATTTCTGTCTCTTTCTTTCTTTTTTCTCAATCCCTAGCTCCTCCGTTCAGGAATCTGTCCTTCTCCCCTTCTGTGTGGGGCGCTGATGAAGGAGAAGCGCCCACCGCAGACCTGGATAATTTAAGTCAATGTATGTTGTAGGAAGAGGTCAGGAAATATTGGCTCCATTTTACACAAGAGCAAACTGCTAGGTTGGCAGTAGAAGAGGGGGAGCTAAAACCCAACCCCCTGCTCCGGCACGCTACATCATTCATACGGCACGGTGTTTTTTACTCTGGGGACACTGATGAAATGTTGGTCATGAGCCCCAAAGACTTCCTTGGACACTCCAGAGAATTATTTTCGTATAGAGTAGCAATTTTCAATTGTGATTGTTTATGAGACTCATATAGAAGAGCTTAAAAGGATAATGATTGCTATAGTAATACCTGGGTTCTCCTTTCCCCATGCAGATGCTAAATTTAACTGGTCTGATTGTAGCTTGTGTATTATATTTTTAAAAGCCCCTCAGGTAATTCTAATATGCAAGCAAGGTTGAGAAATATTGGCTTAGTCTGTGATTCTTCATAAATTATTTTTTATTTTTCAATTAATTATTTTCAGGTATGTAACAGGTGATTAGATATTTATATAATTTATGAACTGATAACTCTAATAAGTCTAGTACCCATGTAACACCATGCATAGTTATTACAATATTATTGACTGTATTCCCTGTGCTGTACGTTACATCCTCATGGCTGTTTGTTGTTGTTTTTAAATATATATTTTATTGATTTTTTATAGAGAGGAAGAGAGAGGGATAGAGAGTTAGAAACATCGATGAGAGAGAATCATCGATCAGCTGCCTCTTGCACACCCTCCACTGGGGATGTGCCCGCAACCAAGGTACATGCCCCTGACCGGAATCGAACCTGGGACCTTTCAGTCCGCAGGCTGATGCTCTATCCACTGAGCCAAACCGGCTTTGGCTCATGGCTGTTTTTATAACTGGCAATTTGTACATCTTAATCGCTTCCAACTTTTCATCCATTTCCTCCCACCCTCATCCCATCTGGCAACACCAATTTATTCTCTGAACCTATTCATTTGTTTCTGTTTTGTTTGTTCATTTATTTTGTTTTTTAGATTCCACATTAAGTGAAATCACATGGTATTTGTCTTTCTAGTCGGTGATCCTAGAGTGTGGTTTCTGGACCAAGCAGTATCAATAGTACCTGGGACCTCTGAGAAATGCAAATTCCAACAGACTTACTAAATTAGAAACTCTGGGAACAGGGCCTACTGATCTGGGTTTTAATAGCCCTTCTAAGAAATTCTGAAGCATGTTAAAGTTTGAGAATTACTGGTTTAGAGCAACATTGCTTAACTGTGGTTGCATATTAAAATCATCTGAGTTAAAGATTTCAGCACTTCTCTCTCAATAATTGAAAAAACAAGTAGTTAAAAAGTTAGTAAGGATATAGAAGACTTGATCACACCATCAACCAATTTCACCTAACTGGCATTCGTAGGACACTTCACCCAACAATTGTGTAGCACACAGGATCTTCACATGTATGCAGGAGCTTTGCCAAAACAAACCATTTGGCATAAAACAAGCCTCATTAAATTTTAAGTTTTCAAATCATACACAGTATGTTCTTTGACTACAGCAGAATTAAATTAGAAACCAATAACTGAAAGGTAGCATGAAGAGCCTCAAATAATTAGAAAATAAACACATTTCTAAAACCCATGGACTGAAGAAGGAGTCACAGGGAATTAAGAATATATTTTGAATTGAATGAAAATGCAAATGTGACAAATCAAATGTGGGATGCAGCTAAGGCTTTAAAAAAAAAGTGCTTACAAAGATACCTGTAGCATTTATTTTAAATATATTTTATTGATTTTTTTCACAGAGAGGAAGGGAGAGGGATAGAAAGTTCGAAACATCGATGACAGGGAATCATCGACCAGCTGCCTCCTGCACACCCTTCACTGGGGATGTGCCCGCAACCAAGGTACATGCCCTTGACCAGAATCGAACCCGGGACCTCCGAGTCCACAGGCTGACGCTCTATCCACTGAGCCAAACCAGCCAGAGCACCTGTAGCATTTATTATAGAAAAGTATAAACACAATCAATGACCTAAAACTCTACCTTAAAAAAACAGAAAAGAGCTAATTAAACCCAAAAGTCAGCAAAAGAAAGGAAACGAAAATATCTGAGTAGAAATAAAATTAAAAAAAGAAAGAAAACAAAAAAGCAATAGAGAAAGTTTGTGAAGTCTAAATCCTGGCTTTTTGAGAAGATTGATAGATTTTGGAAACTCTAGACAAAATTGATTAAAGGAAAATGAGAGAAAATACAAATTACCAATGTCAGGAAAAAGAGAGGGAATATTACTAACGGTCCTCAAGACATTAAAATAACGATAAATGCCCAGTAAGTGTAGCTCAGTGGTTGAGCATCAACCTATGAACCAGGAGATCATGGTTCAATTTCTGGTCAGGGCACATGCCCGGGTTATGGGCTCGATGCAGCCAATCAGTGATTCTCTCTCATCATTGATATTTATATTGCTCTCTCTCTTCTTTTTCCCTCCTTTCTGAAATAAATAAAAATATATTTAAAAAAATAACAGCAGGATTTTATGCCCAACCTCATCACCAAGAAATTCTGATTTATTTGGTCTGGTGTAGCCCCAAACATCAGTATATTTTGAAAGTTCCCTTGGTGATTCTACTGTGTAGCTAGGGTTGAAATTACTAATGTAAGTAAATCAACTCCTTATTACTATTAAATGCAAAGAATTTCTAGGAATTTCCAGTCAAGGATGCTGTGGGCCAGAACTTATTCCTTCTTTCTTCTCTTTAAAAGTGGGGGGGGGGGAGTATCTCAGCAGTTTCGTTTTAGTGGTTGTGTTTGTTGGGGTTGCGTTCATGTGTTGGTATCTATCTCTGAACACAACATTTAGAGGGCAATGTGCTTATTCTTTTTCTAAACAGCTCTATTGGGATAAAATTGACATGCAAGCACTGTATGTGTTTAAAGTACAAATTGCTACTTTGATGCATATGCATTTTGAAGTGCTCACCATAATCAAACTAATGAATATATTCATCATCTTCACATAGCTACCATTTTCTTTTGTGTATGTGTGGTGAGAAGACTTAATTTGAACACATTTCAAGTGTACAGTACAGTACTGTTAACTATAGTCCCCAAGCTATACATGAAAATACAAGAACGTATTCATTTTGCATAAGTGAAATTTTGTACCCTTTTAGGGTACAAACATCATCACATTTCTCCCTGTCCCTTCAGCCCTTGGCAATCACCACTTTACTCTGCTTCTGTGAGTTTGACTATTTGGAATTACAGAAAGCTCAGATCAGGCAATATTTGTCTTTCTGAGTCTGATTTTTTTCACTTCACATAATGTCCTCCAGGTTCATCCATGTTTTTGCAAGTGGCAAGATTTTCTTCCTTTTTAAGATTAAATAATAGTCCACTAAATATCTATATACAGGGTGTCCAAAAATGAATACGCAC